AGCATTTCTGCTTCTTTTTGATAGCCTAGACTTGGAGAAAAACTCAAACTACGCCCATACCAAAGTATATTCTTAGCGAATGGACTCCAAGGAGTCAAATGAGGGTTCGGAAGCATTATTTGCTGTGTCCACTCTTCTGAGAGCTTTCAGGTACGTATCAGCAACTTGAAAACCCTGAGAAATCCTATGATAAAGAGGTCTTTCAAACTTTGCCCAGTTCAGGGTTCTTGAACTTTTGCCTCCCGAACATCCCACATTACACCACACCCTTTCGAGGGAAACACTGCTGAGTCCACTTCCAATTTGTTGTGCAGATCATATTTTCATTGCAAAGGTTAAACTGGTTTCCCAGGGAGAGATTGGAAAGTGGAATTTTAAAGTCAGGTGCAACCGCATAGTTCAATCAGGCAGACTCCAGTGTAGCTGGATCCAAGTGCTAGACCCTGACAGTGCTAGGCCCTGTGTGCCTTCAGTAAGTGAAGGAAAGCTAAGCTTTTTTAAAATTTTTATTTTATTATTTTTTTTGAGACAAGTCTCCCTCTGTTGCCCAGGCTGGAGTGCAGTGGTGCCATCTTGGCTCACTACCACCTCCACTTCCTGGGTTCAAGCAATTCTCCTGCCTCAGCCTCCCGAGTAGCTGGGACTACAGGCACATGCCACCACACACCATTTTCAGTAGAGACAGGGTTTCACCATGTTGGCCAGGCTGGTCTTGAACTCTTGTCCTCAAGTTATCTGCCTGCCTCAGCCTCTCCAAGTGCTGGGATTACAGGTGTGAGCTGCCACGCCTGGCCAAGAAAGCTCTATTTATGTGGGACAAAGTTGGTTATCAACATCTCCAGGTTTTCCCTTCACCTGCTTAGTAACCTCCGAAGAGGGAGAGAGTCCTTCAGTAGTTCCAGCCGAAAAGACTGATTCAGTCTGGCTTGGGGCATGTGTTCACCATTTACCTAGTCACTGTGGCCAGAAGAGTACATGGGACTTATTTACAGTTGAAGTTCAAGTTTTGATGTTTAATAAGCTTTTGTTGATAGACCTGTTTTATGGCTCTAAGTCAGGATTGGTGAAACACCTCTCCCTGCTCATGACCAAGGCAGCAGCTGAGCTTTGTTTAGGATTTGAGTGGGTTTCAAGGGAATAGTCGGCACTTAAACTCAGGATGCAGGAATCTGAAAGGGATGAAGTGGTTTTCTTTTTAAATGGTGAAAGATACACTTTGACTTTCACATCTCTTCCTTCAAGGCTGGAAGTGTTCAGTGGCTGAGTCAGGTTGGCCAGGTGGGAAATGAGAATACTCCCTGTTAGTAGGACTAACAAGGGCCCTTTGGTTCCAAACAACTTTCTGGAATCAGCTCTTCTACCACCAACCTGTCACAAAAGAGACCCCAACCATGAGCAGGAGATGGGGAATAAAAAGGCCAAAGTAACCTGCGAAAATGAGATCACATGCTTAAGGCTGGTACTCCAGAATCTGAAGAGTTCTAGATCCTGCCCTTTGCTCAGATGGCTGCTGGACACACAACAGGACACTTAATGTGACCTGGACAACAGGGAACTTCTCATGCAGGACTTTGGAGGCCACAAAACTTAGAAGACCCTGCTATTTCAGGACAAGCCCAGGGAGCCAGCGGCTTGCTGGCTGCCCACCCACTGTGGGTCTAATAGGGGTGACAGTTTCCTCTGTTCTCTCCTGAGACAGGTAGCTTTTAGCTGCAAGAGTTCAGAGCTGCCCATTAATTTCTGTCCCAGATTATGGACCTTAGAACATTTACCTGCTGCTGGATGGAATGGGGCACGGATGTTGAGGGGTAGGAAGGCAGAGTGCTGAAGAAAGACATGCATAGGCTGCCCATGGACTGAGGGGCATAGTGAAAGGCAGAAACTGGAATTCTGGGCTATGTTCCCTGAGACATGAATATTGGAGGGGTCAGGATTTTTTAGTTTTTGCACATGTGGATCAGGTAAGATGTACTGCATTCCACATCTCTGTTGTAGAATATTATTTCTGGTAAGGGACATTCCTCACAACAGGAAATAGACATAAGAACAGGTTACTTTGGGCACCCCCAATGCTATCTCTTGGGAAAACAATTACACACACACACACACACACACAGACAGACACAGTTGTCAGAAGGGTCAGTGGCTCACTGTTTACAGAAGACATTTTAATACACATAGGCACATGTATATTGTATATGCTACAGCTCAACAGAAGCACTTGTTTTCCATTCGAGGGCTCCAGATCAGCTGCCTGTTCACAACAGCACAGATAAGTGAAGTTTGGAATTTTACTATCAGTGTTTAGTATCAGTCAGGCACACTGAATTTGTAATAAACAGTAATCACAGCAGGAAATAGGATTTGTGTAGACAATACAGGGACAACTAGGTACTGAAACAAACTTGCAATGCTTTTCATGCCTTTTCCTTCAGCTTTTGAAGAGCGAATGCCTTAGCGTTGCTACATCAGCCGCAAGCAGCAACACTGGTTCCCACCAGCTACATTAATACTCTTTCCCTGCTGATTCATCCATGCAATCTACAAAAGCTGTGATAATAGAACATCTAGTTGATTCTGGTTAAAACTTTACTAACAGAAGAAACCTAATCATCAATAAATTAGATTACCATACTTAATTTAGCAATGCTCTATGCTGGTCTATCTTCATTCCTAGCATGACCTCAGGCAAAACCAGGTCACCAGGGAAGTGGGTTAGCCATTAGCAGAGCACATTCTTCTGTGGAATTAGGACTGTGGCAGAAGTGGCAGGGTTTGACTGCCCCACCCATCTACTAGAGGTCACCCAGGCTGCACAGGAGATGGTCAGCTCTGTCACAGTGCAAGAGCCTTATAGCCGGGGAGCTCCTGGATTTCAGAATCTGCTCAGACTTTTCAGGTGCTCCATACAGGCAAGGGAAGCTGCCGGGAGAAAAAGATTCAGGCGTACCAGGAAAAAGGATTTAATAGTCATCTTGTTTTCTAAAATCACAGCTCTGAGCCTTGGTTATCACGACTCTAGAAGAGACGTGTTCCACCTAGTGGGATATTAACGTTTAGCCCAAGTTATTGAACAAAACCAAAGCATCCAATGTCAACAACTAGCAATAATCATAAGGATTTAGGAAAAGTTTTAAATTTTGGGAAAGGTTTTTGTTCTCAGGTTTAAAATGCACCATGCTGGGAGGTGCTTGGAATCAGTAGTTCTGCACTGATACCAGGGTTTTGCTTTTCAAACTTGAAACACAGTGTGTCGTTCACCTGCCTAGCACTAGAAATCCATCTCTGAGCCTGTGCTGTCTCATCTGCACATCCATGGTTCCTAAAAGCCCACAGAGGTGCTTCAGTCACAGAAACAGCTCACTGGAAATAAAACTAGGGATTCAGACTACAGAGACTGTATCAGGTTCCCATCAATTATAAATACATACGTGTGAAATGGCAGTATGGCTTAACTCTCATCACGATGGAGATCCTAATGCTTCCACTGCTCTTTGGTAAGCATAAGTACAGAAAAACTTCCCAAAGCGTCTCCTTGGGAAGGATGCAATCAAGGTCACAGCCAGGGGAGGAACCCAGTTACTTAGGGAGGTAAGTCCACAGCACATCAGGGCTTGAATCAAAAAAATGAATGATGGAAGTAAACAAGCAAGTGCTCCCTGACATTCTTGGGGTTACCAGACTGCAGCAGAATCTGGCCACTTTCTTATTCTTGCTCTTTCAAACACATCTCCTCTCTAAAATTGAGTCAGGGTAAGTGCTTCAAGTTTATAGTGTTTGGAGAAAAACAGAATAGCACAAACGATGTGGGAACTGTAGGGAAAAGGAATCAAACAACAAAAGAGCTGGCTATTAATTATGTGATCAAAATATGGTTGCTCTTAGAGAGGCTCCATTTCATTGCCCGAAGCTAGGGCCTGTTCGCTCAGTGAGGAGAAAATGGTGAATGCCAAGCTAAAGTTTAGCTTTGGCTTTCTACTCATTCTTGGTCACCCCAATGTAACTTCTTTATGGAAAAGCCTTGCATAAAAGGCAGCCATCTCTGTTTCTTTGACTTGTTTCCACTTGTCTGGCTTCCCAAATGGGCATCAGTCAGGTCTCCCCTGTTGCCAGCTTATTGCCATCTTGGTGAGACAGATGCTCTCCATAAGTAAGGATAGGTTTAGGTACAGTGAGTAGCCAAGAGGTGAAAACAATCCCCCACCAAACCTGTTCACTTCTTGAGCCTATCCAGCGGCATGTGGGTTGCCAAAAATAGTTCTTCTGCAAAGATCTGTGTGTCTGTACAGTGGAGTTTCATCATATGCACATCTCACTTAGGTGAATTAAACTTTGTGCTTGGGAAATCAATCAATAAAATATAAAGATTTTGGGAGGCAGAGGCGGGTGGATCACTTGAGATCAGGAGTTCGAGACCAGCCTGCCCAACATGGTGAAACCCTGTCTCTACTAAAAATACAAAAATTAGCTGGGTGTGGTGGCTTGCACTTGTAATCCCAGCTACTCAGAAGGCTGAGGCAGGAGAATCTCTGGAACTTGGGGGGCAAAGGCTGTGGTGAGCCAAGATTGTGCCACTTTACTCCAGCCTGGGTGATATAGCAAGATTGTCTCAAAAAAACAAAAAGAAAAAGAAAAAGTGAGACATCAGTGATATTTTAAATAAGTAGGCAAATGTGCTTGCCATTCTTGTAGTAAACACAGGTAGGAGGGAGACATGATACCACTGTTCCTTTAGTCTCCATGAACTTGCCCCTCTTGGATGTGCAGGCATTCCATTGGTCTAAGAGTAATTCTAAGGTCAGGTACGGTGGCTCATGCCTGTAATCCCAGCATTTTGGGAGGCCTAGGTGGGCAGATCACTTGAGGCCAGGAGTTTGAAACTAACCTGGCCAACATAGCAAAACCCTGTCTCTACTAAAAATACAAAGGATTAGCTACACATGGTGGCACATGCCTGTAATCATAGCTACTCAGGAGGCTGAGGCACAAGAATCACTTGAAACCAGGAGGCAGAGGTTGTAGTGAGCAGAGATCATGCCACTGCACTCCGACTTGGGTGACAGAGTGAGACTTTGCCTGAAAAGAAAAAAAAAAAGAGTAATTCTAGTCTATAAAGACAAGTATAATTTGTGCAACATTTTAGCTCATCTTGTATTAGCCAAATGAGACCAAAAATAAAAATAACTAAATCAAAATGAAACAGAAACAATGACTTGTTTCATTAGTGAAGGGTGACACTGTAATTGGGCTTCACTGAAAAAAGATACTTCTTGTATGTTATAAGTAATTTAAGGGGTTTTATGGTAAATTTTCCTATCTTCTAAATTCATTTCTAACTTAGACTATAACTCCCATGTAAGATGCAACTTTGCCGAACTGCAAAGTGAACATACTTTCAGTGTGACGACATTCTCTTCTGGTCCTCTCCAGATACAATTCTCTGCGAATATTCAGGGGACAATTAGCCCTCAAGGAACATGCTTCTTGGAAGGAGATCAGTGTGCTAATATTTAGCAATTGGCTTCTAGGAGGGAAGAAACTAGCATTTGCCAGTTTTCATGGTGTAAATACTCCCATTATTACCAATTTCAAGTCACCCCCTTCACATGGCTGAAGAGGGAGCTGGGAAGTGATGTGCACGGCAGGCTCCAGCCCCCTGAGATAAGCAAATCTGATGCTGACTCCAGCACGCCACTGGAAGACCCTCATCCATCTATGTTACATTTAATCTGATCCTATCCATGCCTCCCTGATAGAATTCCTTATCCTCATCCAAGTAGGCTGGGGGATTCTGACCACTTTTTAAAATTTTCTAGGTCTGAAAAGTCTCATTGAGTCATGTGTCTGCTTGTCCATTTGTCACTATGTAATTAGAGTGAAAAAGTAGATCTACATTCATATATTCATTTTAAAATAAAAATAAAGGTTGTTTAGAATAACACAGCACTAAAAAGGCAGGGTATGGCTCATGTAGTGCAACCCTCTCATTTTAGATAAATAAAGCACAGAAAGTGGCTGAGTGATTTGCTCTAGATCACACAGTTGATTGGTATGAAATGACATCCCAGGAGCTCAGGCCCAGGATCCTTCACTGTGTCGTGCCTGTTCTGAAAGATATTCATTCACATTTTCTAAGTCATGACGTGTGGAGTGGGAAGAACTACTGTCAGCTTTTCTTGACGTATGTAATTAGAAGTTCCTGGCATGAGATTGTCCCAAGAAGAAGACATGAGGCCTTTATAGGTTGTTATTCTGACCATTCTCATCTTGTGGGTCTTTGGTTTGTTCCAAGGCTAGATTTGGTTGTCTTTTATTAAAGTCCCTTTTTACTCTTAAAAAGAAAAAAAAAAAAAGAGGTTTTATTCTTTGAAAAAGAAAATGAAAAGTTTAAGCTTTTGAAATAACATTAAGCCCAATAATTTATAAATAAGCATGACTCAAGTAAATCTTCTAAAAGACTTTGATATTTAAGTGTTTAAATCCTAATCCCTCTTCCCTTCCCATAAAAAACTTGATGCTAGGCTAATTTATCAATTAAAAAATTTTACATACCTTACAAAAATGTTTATAAATTTTCTATAATAGATAATATCATTTTTTCCAATTAGAAAATAATTTTTAAAAGGTTAAAAATATATTTTCTCTGCAAGTAAAGTCTGGCTGAAACACGCCATCATTTCTGGGGCTGTTGTTCTCCCAGGATTACTTACTTTTCTCTGTTGAAAATGATGAACTCTTTCTGGACAGAGTCAAGGTGCTCTTGAAGAAGACATGTCTTCCAGGTGAACACAGGAAAAAAAAAGTAGAGGTATAGTTAGCAGAAAAATGAGGACCCTTAAACATCCAATAACCTATTGACACTTTATTCAATGAATAGCCCCAACTTGAGAAGTACCTTCAAAATGGATGCTATGTGGAGAAGATTCTGGGAAGCTGGCAGAATAGGAAGCATTAGGAATCGGGGCTCCCTTCCTAGACAGCCATTGCACTGGCAGAATCTGTCCGATGTCACTATTTTAGAATTCTGGAGTCTATTTTAAGCTTGCAACTTTCAGAGAAGGCTTGGGTGGCAAAGTACAGTTAATTATGGCCAATTTAAGGTCTTAGCACAGCAGCAGCTATCCATCCATTATCCTCTAGCCCATGGGAGGGAGCTGAGAACACACATGTTCTGGAGCAGTTTGCACTCAGCCTGTGGGAGCCAGGGTGGAAAGTAAGAATCATGTTCTCCAAATACTAAGGATATATGCTCCCATCACTGCTGCTTCTGATCACAGAGGTGCAAACACAAAGCTTTACAGCCATTGTTGTTGGACCTCCCGCACACTGTTGCAAGCCGCTCTTCCGCAGGCTGTAGCGACTTCTAGGAGAATCAAAGGGCCAGCACCTTTCCCTCCCTTCATTTTTCTCCTTTCCTTCTTTTGGGAGCCACACATGAAAGACAAGGACATTCAAAAACAACTGCATACGTGGGGAAAATTGGAAAGTGACTGCACACGCCCAGGGAAAGGTATAGGCTCAGAAAAGATCTAAGAAGACCTAATGTTTACACCTCTGGCTGATCCGTGGCATGCAGACAGCTTCCAACAATAATAAAAAATAAAAATAAAAACAATAACAAAAAACAGCAAACCCTGGGGATGGGGGAAATCTGAATTTCCTAGATTTATCACATTATTAGATTCAAGTGTCCAATACATTAAAAAAAAAACAAAAAAAAAAACAAGATATGGCAGGAAATAGGAAAGCATGGCTCGTTCACAATCAAAAAACTGTAAATCAATGGAAGCTACCCCTTAAAAAGACCAAATAGCAGATCTACTAGAAAAAGACTTCAAAACAGCTATCTTAAAGATGCTCAGAGAATTAAAGGAAGATATAGAGAAAATCAAGAAAATGAAGTACAAACAAAAGTAAAATATTAATAAAAATATAGAAAACCTAAAAAGAAGCCGAAAGGAAATTCTTGAGCTGAAAAGCGCAATAACTGAAATTTAAAAATTCACTATAGGATTTCAAAGGCAAAATTGAGCAGGCAAAGGAAAGAATCAGCATCAAACTTGATGGCAGGACAGTGAAAATTATTGAATCTGAGGAACAGAATGAAAAAAGTTTGAAGAATACTGAACAGACCCTACAGCAAGCTTGTCCAACCCATAGCCTGTGGGCCACATGTAACTCAGAATGGCTTTGAACGTGGCTCAACACAAATTCATAAACTTTATAAAACATTATGAGATTTTTTGGGGGTGATTTTTCTTTAGCGCATCAAATCTATCAACAGTGTTAGTGTATTTTATGTGTGGTCTGAGATAATTCCTCTTCTTCCAATGTGGCCCAGGGAAGCCAAAAGAATGGACATCCCTGGCCTACAGAATGTGTGGATTGAAGAGTAGTGAACAGACCCTACAGCAAGCTTCTCCAACCCTGTCCAAGCTTGTCCAATGTTTTAATAAAGTTTATGAATTTGTGTTGAGCCACATTCAAAGCCATCCTGAGGTACATGTGGACCACAGGCTATGGGTTGGACAAGCTTGCAGTAGGGCCTGTTCACTATTGCTTGATGTATTCATCAAGCAAACCAGTGTATGTACTGTGGAATTTCCAGAAGAGAAGAGAGAGAAAAAGGAAAATAGAATATGTAAAAAAATCATAGCTAAAAGGTATGAGCCCCTAAATCCAAAAAAGCACAGTGCACCCCAAGTAAGATGAATTTAAAAAGACTCACATTAAGACACAATATAATCAACATTTTTTTTTTTTTGAGATGGAGTCTCACTCTTTCACCCAGCCTGGAGTGCAGTGGCACAATCTCAGCTCACCCCAATCTCCTCCTCTTGGGTTCAAGAGATTCTCTTGCCTCAGCCATCCAAGTAGCTGGGATTACAGGTGTACACCACCACACCCGGCTAATTTTTGTATTTCTAGTAGAGATGGGGTTTCATCATGTTGGTCTCAAACTCCTGGCCTCAAGTATTCCGCCTGCCTCAGCCTCCCAAAGTGCTGGGATTACAGCTGTGAGCCACCATGCCCAGCCAATGTAATCAAACTTTCTAAAGCCAAAGACAAGAAGATAATCCTGAAAGCAGGAAGAGAGAAGTGACTTGTCATATACATCATAAAATGATCAGCAGATTTCTCATCTGAAATTTTGGAGGCCAGAAGACAGTGGGCTGATATCTTCAAAGTGCTAAAAGAAAAAAAAAAAAAAAAAACTGTCAACCAAGGATCCCACATCTGGCGAACTATTCTTGAAAAGTGAAAGAGAAACAAAGATGTTTCCAGATAAAAACGGAGGGAGCTCATTACCACTGAAATTTCCCTGTCCTAGTGGAAATGAACAGGAAATGCCCAAGGGAGCCCTGCAAGTAAAATGAAAGGACATGAGACAGTAACTTGAAGCTATAGAGAGAAATAAAACTCTCAGTAAGTGTAGAAACATTGGACAATTACAAAAACCAAGATTATTGTAACAACAGTTTGTAACTCCTTTTTGTTTTCTACATAAGAGCCTAATACATATTTTAAAAAAACAATTATTAATCTAAAAGCTAATATTATTGTAAATTTGTCTTGGAGGTTCTACCTGGATTTTGTGAATAGTGTAAAAACATCTCTATACTGAATAATGATAGAATGTTCTCCTCAACAATGATACTGGAGTGGATTAAATATCCTTCTCTTCTAGTCAGCAGAGCCTTCTTTATTTGTGACTTTCTTGCAGACATGCAGAGCATTTGCTTTGACACTATACTGTCCAGCTTTCAACATCTATTGATGACTTTTCCATCATAATGAAAAAATTTAGTTTCAAAAAAAGATGATTACCAGTCCCAGGACAGAATTAAACCCAGATCAAATGTTTTAAAAGTCTACAACAAAATACTTCCAAATTTTTTCTGATGAAAAATATTATTCTTTAAAAAAATTATTCAGTCATTAAAATGTTTTTAAATGTAGGAATTAGAATATGCTAAGTTCTCCAGTACTGGAGAGTTTTCTTTCTGAGTACTTATTTAGGTGACAGGAGAGGAAACTATCAAAAGCACAGAAGGGGGATGGGGAACAAGACAAAGGAGAAGAGGAGGCTTTGTTGTATTTCACTCTCATTTGCAAACAGTAGCATTTGTAATCCTGAGGGTTTCCAGTATGGGCCACAGGGGAAAGGCAGCTACAGGACAAACGTAATCTGATTGAAGCTTTTCGGAGCAACGCTTTTACCCCAAGATTTTAGGACAAATATTTTTTAGCATTAAAAATCAAGGTTACAATTGAGTGACATGCAAAAATCCACATGGATTTTTTTCTTCTACCATATAATTATTTTATTTAAACAAAGATATGAAATGTACACTTGGAGATAATTTTGTGCTATGACATTTCAGACCCCATGATCTTTAAAGCATTCATGTTCAACATGTTCTCTTTCCTCTGCTTTAGGTGGAAAAGTTTAAGAAGTGTCGCCAAAGGGATACATTAACTGGAGTAGCCAAAAAGAGAATATGAAGTAAGGGGGAAGCAAAAAGAATGGAGGACTAATGGATCATCTGTGACTCAGAAGTAAAAATCTTAGGACTCACCTATTAGGATGAGCAGAGGAAACAGTGATTAAAGTATCATAGCTGGAGATTGCGTTAGAAATGTTGTAAGAATTTAGAGCAGGTGGAAATTTCAGGAGAAGAACAAGAGGATTTAGGGAATTTGCCTCAACAGGCGATAGACTAGGTGGCATGGCAGTCTGCTGATTGCATACTTTAAAGATGTTGAGCTGAGAGAGAAAAAGTGGAGGATATTCTGGGGGGAAAGAAACAACCGAGGCATCTGACATGAGCATGAAAAGAGCCAAGGAAAAGAAAGTCTAGGAGTCAGGAAGTGCAGTGGAAAGTAAAGCACCACAGCAGCTAACATTCTGCGGAGCACTTTACATGCACTAATTTACTCAGAACAAGCCTATGAAGTCGATACACATACCAGCTCCATTGATAAATGAGGAAACTGAGACATGAGAAAAATGTAAAACTTTAGTTATGCTCCTCTAGTTTATCACAGCCCAGGATCTATAACAGTGTATCTCAGCTATGGCTGCATATATAAAATCACCTGAAGTAAATTTTAAAATACTGAGGCCCAGGATACAAAATCAATGTGCAAAAATTGCTAGCATTTCTAGACATCAATAATATACAAGCAGAGAGCCAAATCATGAATGAACTCCCATTCAGAATTGCTACAAAAACACCTACGAATACAGCTAACAAGGGAAATGAAGGACATCTTCAAGGAGAACTACAAACCACTGCTCAAGCAAATCAGAGAGGACGCAAAAAAAAAACAACAAAAAAAAAACTTTATGTTCACAGATAGAATCAATATGAAAATGGCCATATTCCCAAAGTAATTTATAGACTCAATGCTATTCCCATTAAATGACCATTGACATTCTTCGCAGAATTAGAAAAATCTATTTTAAAATTCATATGGAACCAAAGAAGAGCCCAAATAGCCAAGACAATCCTAAGCAAAAAGAACAAAGCTGGAGGCATTACATTACCTGACTTCAAACTATACTACAAGGCTCCAGTAACCAAAACAGCATGGTACTGGTACAGGATCAGAGACCAGTGGAGCAGAATAGAGAACCCAGAATAGAGAGCTCCTTCTCTAGGCTTGTGGCTTGAATGGAATTCCCCTGCCAACACTTGACTCTTTTCTGAGGTGGTACCTAAACAGTGATGAATTTGGCCCTAGTGTGACAAGGTGACTTTGAGCTATACACAGTGAGGCAGGAAATAAGACTAACCTACAGATAACATGATATTGATATGGTGGATGTTCTTGTTAGATTTGGCTGAAAGAATGACTTCGGTGAATGCCTCTAGATAAGATTAAAGGAATGGAGGATGAGGAATGTCACAGCCTTTTGAATACAGCATGGGTAATTCCTAGGATCTGCAACCACCTGTCATTTTATTTCCTCTGAAACACTAACGATCTACCTCTATCCTGAGGATGTGACAGCCTTAAAATGCTCTTGTCGTTTCTTGTATCCTCACTATTTCTGTTCAATCTAGAGAACCAGGTCCAAAGTTGCCTCCCCTGGAAAGCCTATCCTAATCCTTCACTAAGGTCCAGTGAGCAATTCCTAGAGCACTTTGTGTATCTATCTAACCATAGCATTGACCACCTAGTCAGAAACATTTCCTAACATAGCAGGAACTTTACAATCATTTGAATTAATTAATTAATTAATTAACATGTTAATAATATAATAAGGTAAGATTGACCATCACATTTTAAAAGCCTTAAGGTAAAACAGAGAAGATAGAGTGAATAATTGGAAAGATAGCTCATAATCTTCCTGATACTTATTGGAAGAAAGACTATTCTTTATTTTGAAGAAAAATACCTTTTATTTTAGAACCTGGGGGGAAAATTAGAAGAATCTAGAGAAAAATGCTGACATAAGCAGTTCCAAGCTCCCATCTTGCAAAAAAAATCACAAAACAAGCAGATACTGTCAAAACCAGTTTTGTCAAAACTCCAGAAAGCAGTCAAAGGTGTACTGGAACCAAATGAATACTAAGTTAAGAAAAGAAAAGCAACTTAAAAATGTTCCTGGTGTTAAATCTCAGTCAGAACATTAGCTGAGCACAAGCTAAAGTAACAAAGACTTCAGTGATGACACAACAAAGAAGGCAATCTTTGCCAAAATTTTTGGAGAAGTCACTAAAAAATGGACAACTACAGCCTTCAACAAACAAAAATAGCAAAGCATGAAGAAAGGAGGAATCTGATTTCCAGAGTTACCACATTGTAATATTCAAATGTTAAGTTTTCAACAGCAGAAAAAAAAAAAAAATCTCAAGTCACACAAAGAAACAGGAAAGTATCACCATTTAAAGACTTAAAATAAATGGACAGAAATTGTTCCTATGGAAGCCCAAACATTGAGTTTTCTAGAGTAAGATTTTAAAACAATTGTCTTGAATATGCTCAAAGTTAAAAGAAACCACAAAACAGTTCTCAAAAATTTTAAGAGGACTAAAATCATTGAAGCGAAGGCAGAAATTAATAACAGAAGGAAAACTGGAAAATTCACAAATGTATGGAAATTAAATAAAATACTCTTAAACAATGAGTCAAAAAAAGAAATCACATGAGATATCAGAATATACTTAGAGATGAATTAAAAACAAAACACAACATCTCAAAACTTATGGGATAAGTGAAGGCAGTGCTCAGAAGAAACTTTATAGCTATAAACACTGATATTAAAAAAGAAGAAACATCTTAAGTCAAAACCCAGATGAACGCCTTGCTAGTATGTTAAGGATTTTTGCATCTACATTCATAAGAGATATCAGCTTGTAATTACCATTTTGGGGGATGTCTTTGTCCAGTTGGGAATCAGGGTAACACTGGCTTCATAGAATGAATAAGTGAGGAAATATTTACAGTTCGTATATCTGATAAGGGTCCAATATCCAGAATATGTAAAAAAAAAAAATTCCTATAATTCAACAACAGAAATGAGAAGGTGACATTTAAGGTAAAAAGAATGAGTGAAAGCCCCCATGGGAAGATGCAAGAGAAGAACATTTCAGGAACAGAGAAGAGCAAGGGCTCTGAAGAAGAACAAAAAGTCCAATGCTTGGGAGTGAGAGTTTGCAGGGCCCGTGAGGTTGGAGGGTTTTAAGTGAGGGTCAGAGAGGGATAGTACAAAGATGCGCAGATCATGTTGAGCATGGTAGACATGGTCAAAAGTTATTCCCAAATTGCTCAGTTATTTCTAAAATTTTAAAAATGTATAGTAAAAATGATCTCTTGGTTTTTACTGTACATTATGTCCTGTTATCAGAGAGGCCTGTACCCAGCTTGAGCTGAGTTTTGCTGGGTCAAGGGAAGCAGTGAGTCTGGAGAAGTGGGCTGGTTATGACATGATCATGAAGAACAGACCATTGGGAAGAAGACAGTTCAGTGACAAGCTACATGCAAGATGAGTTAAGCATTCCTTGGAGGTCCTAGAAAACATTTCATAAGGGAATCTGGCAAGAGGCCAGTTCTGTGGTCAAACAGGACCCAGATATGAACTTTGGTTAATTTGTCCATTGAAATATCTAGTAGCCGCTGACAATTAGAGAAATTAAGGACATGGGGGATACTTATTTTTTTGCAGAGCCATCTTTACCAGAAGACTACACAATCTTTGAGAAAAGGGACAGCATTGAGTACAGAAATTAAATCTCAATCATTTCTTACTCCAATGTTTAGCACAGGACCTGGCAGATAATAGTTACTAAATAATAGTAGCCTAAATGAATGGATGGATGGATGGATGCATGGATGGATGGATGGATGGATGGATGAATGGTCATGCGGATGGATAGATGATCTTTAGAGGCAAAGTGAATGTTTATTACTTCATCATGATTATAATTCATAGAGCCACATGTGAGTATAAAATCTTACTGAGTGCTTGCAAGTTACTACACTGAAATCTGAGCTCTGACTCTGACAGAGAACACTATACTTAGTTACAAAATTAATTTAACTCAGCCTGAAATCCAGCAATCGTGCTCCACCATGTTAGAATTCCATCGTTCCTGTGAACAGACACTCTTCTGTGAGGTTTGATATCATAAAATTCTACTTGGGGCAAAGAATAGACACCATCTTTAGTTGGCTGCTTTCAGCAACTCCTCAAAGCAGCCATGTGTGTACTTTGAAACCTGCCCCTTAAACATAATTTTATGAACCATATCCTGACCTAGGCTTGGCCAAAAAGTTCCTCCCCCAGGAAACTTATAAATTTTGAATTGAGAACTGGAAGAGAAAAATAACTGAGTCAAGTTAACGGCAGAGCTCTAGAGGGAAGGCCTACCAGTAAAACGTTGCTGCTAGGATCCTCAAGCAGCTCTGGTCTGCCCTTTTATAAGCCTGGGCGTTCAACTTCTCCTGTTCCACTAAGCAGCAAAAGCAGGGTGTGAAGTGACCTCCCACTAGAAGCTCTCAAAGATATTGCAGCCATTGTGGGGATGCCCATGACCTTGAGTTTGGTGGGTTCCTGTTTACCTGAGAGGAATTGCATTTCCTCATCTCCTTCTCCTTCTTTGCCAGACGCTTTTTTTTCTTGTGAAGAGGTTTGGACTCCAAAATCATTTCCTCAAGTTCAAAGGTAGGATCACAATTCAGCCTGCCTTTCTGCAAGAAAGATAGTTGGCTCAATCATCAGATCCCTGTATCATTCTAAAAAACAAACCAGACCTAATATGGAAAATAAGACTTAGTCTTAATGAGGCAGTTCATAAATAATAAGCTGGGGTTCCCACTCTAAGTTTTACATTATTTATTGCAAACATTGTTTTTCATATTCTTCGTTTGTTTTTCTAAACTCTCAATTAGCCCTCAGTGAGTAAAACAAAAGCCAACTTACAATTATTATTCTAAAGTGGAAGCTTTTAGGTTATGTTTCCCAAAGTGTGTTCTAATAAAGATGTAGATCAGAATCACCTAAGCTGCTCGTTCAGTTTCCCAGTTCTCTAACCAGCCTTCCCAAATCAGGATTTCAGAACGTGAGTTCCAAGAATTTGCACTTTAATAAGTTCCCCAGATGACCCTGATTCACACTAAAGTCAGGGAAGCACAACGTAGAACTCTTTTTGAGCCAGCACTGATGGCTAATTGCAGGGACGCAGCACATGGAAGGACGAGGGGAAGCAAGAGTTGGTGGTGTCTAGACCTTTATTGTGTCATGTGTCAATTATGGTACAAGTTGCCCCTGCTGAACCCTGCAAAGTGGAGAGGTAAGAACATAGACCTATCCTCCCTTTGCTCCATAAGGTACAATTCCACCACACTGCTTTCTCCTTTCTCTTACTTTGCACTTTCTCCTGACCCTTTCATTGGAGCATGCCAACTGCTGTTTGTACAAGAATGATCACACTCTCACTTTGCCACAGCAAATGCCTCACTTGGGCTTAAGAAACTTTTTTTTTTTTTTCTGAGACAGGGTCTCACTCTGTTACCCAGGCTAGGGTGCAGTGGCACAATCGCTGCTCATACAGCCTCAAACTGCTGGACTCAAGTGATCTTCCTACCTCAGCCTGCTAGGTAGCTGAGACCACATGCAAGTACCACCACGCCTGGATAATTTTCTTTTCTTTTTTTTGTAGATACACACTCTTGCCATGCTGCCTAGGCTGATCTTGAACCCCTGATTCTCCTGCTTCGGCCTCCCAAAGTATTGGGATTACAGGCTTGAGCTGCCATGAACAGTCAAAACAGAAAACTGCATTGGTTCTACAGGCCCCTTAGAAGCCTCTTATTCTGCCCAATATACCTACATCTGAACATATAATTCCAGTTCTAGGCAGAGAGAAGGAGCTAGAGGCCTCGCTTGGGACTGTTGGCCTAAGCTTTTGGATTCTGGCTCTTACCAGCAGAATGCTGTAGACCATAGAAGTCCATTGGCTGAGTACCCATCCAATGGGAATGATGTGTCTTCGGTTATTAGTTCTTACAAATATAAATCCCTGAGATAGAACAAACAAAGGAGGAGGAGCAAATGGTAAAATAAGTTCCTCACCCCAATTCAAACAATTTTCAATTCTTTGATTCACAGATCTCCAGGGACACAAGCTTCTGCATCTTTAGAATCAAAGAAAACTTAAAAAAAAATCAGCAGATTCATGAGAATGACCCTTTGGAGAACTAGGACTTCCTTTCAATAAAAACACGCCACAAAAAATGGTTGAAAGCTAGAACTGAAGTTGCAAATATATCTTGATTAGAAACCCAGCTTGACTACTTGCTAGCTTTGTGTCCTTTGGTGACAAACTTAGCCTGTGTGTGTCTCAATTTTCTCATCTGTAAAATGGGAATTGGGCTCTCTTGTAACACTGGCGTGATTATCTGATGAGACAATGTGTGAAACTGGCACACAGAGTAATGTGCACTGAATGGGAGTTATTATGGGTTTGTGATGATTGACTCACATTAGGAATGAAACCTGGAATGAGCCTCTTCTGAAAAACTGCATCCCAGTTTATATCATTCATATATGGGAAGTTCTGGACATCAGACAAATGAGAAAATCGTTGGTCTGGATTAGGTTCAAGTAGCTGCCAAAAAATACAAACATCAAAGTCATAAAAAAAGGTTAGAAGGACAAAAAAACCATACAAATTCCCTCTAAAAGTATTTAAGTATAGGACTGAAGGAAAAAAGGCAGTGTCCCCCATCCCTAATCCCATAAACAACGTAGGTAATACATAGTTAGAATGAACAGTATGTAGGATTCTGCAATGTGATGAGTAAAAATAGCTGGTCCTACAAAGTCAAATATATCTTTGATTCTTGACTCCTCTACTTACTAAGGGCAAATTTGTTCCCTAAATCTTAGTTTACTCATATGTGAAAAAAAAAAAGGATAATAATCCATTTCATAAGATTGCAGTCAGGATTAGTGGGAGGCTTTATACAGTGCCTGGTAGAAAACCTATGGTGACAAATGTTGATACATTTTCACAAGTGAAACTCATTTCATACTAAGAATTTTAGCTGTTTTTACAACTAACTAAAATACATTGTGGGTGGCATAGATAAGGTATAACTAAGGTAACTGTTAGTGTTCTAGATTTTGCTAATTGGGATAAAAGGTTTTTGCCCCCTTAACCATTCCTGAGCCAACATCACACCATTCATATGGCTCAAATAGGCAATGTCAGTCCCACTTGAGAATGCTTCTGAAGATGACAACCATAAAACCTCAGGGTGTAATTCATGGAGTGAAGCAGGGCTGTCTTGGAACTAAGCAGAATTTGCTTATGGAAAATGATACCCCATTCTACATCTTTGATATTACTGATGACAGTGTCCCTATTCCAAAATAGGGAACTTGACTCCAAAAACAAGAGACACAAATGATGACTTGACAGCTCCTTAGCCTCAAAAGCTATTCTCCATTACCAGCCACAACCTGTATAATTTCCTCCCTAAGAAAAAAAAAACAATCTAGGCCCATTCCTCTTGGGCTCCTCATTCTTGTTTTGTATCATCACTCAGTATACAGTACTGAGCTCCTACTATAATTGTTCTTCATCTTTTTGATGAATAAGGGTACCTTGAAAATCTGATGAAAGCTATGGACCTCATTTATTCAAAAACTTGTCAAATTTCACTTCTCAGGCTCTGTGTTAGATGCTGAGAATACCATGGTACACACGTGAGACATGGTCCCTACCCTCATGAAGCTAAGTGGAAAATGGTAAGTAACCCAAGGATCACAAAAATGCTCGTCATAATTTTGAACTGAAAACCAAGAAGGTGATATCTGAGCTAAGAGCTAAATCTGTGCTTCCCAAACTATGTAGAAGGTCCAGTTTTTTTTGTTTGCTTTTGCCTGTTTCAATTTCCAATCTACTGAAATCAGTGTGTGGTCTTATTGTACATTGCCAGTTTGCAGCAACCCACATAGACACCTTGTGACTTGAGTTCAACATCACTCAAACAAGCTTGGACCCTCTTCAATAAGACAAGTGCACTGATCATGTATTTAGATGCTACAGCAGTGTCCAATTGCTATAAAAGTTTCTAAATGCTTCTCTCAATTTCTTTACTTACAATAGACCTGTAAAACAATTCATGGACTAGAACCAGTGAAACATATTAGATAGTACTGCTCTCAAGGAGGAACTGGAGGAACTAGGACTGGAGGCAATGTTCCAGGAACACGAATTAGCATGTGCAAAGGCCCTGTGGTGAGAGGAAGACTGGTATGTAAAAGTGAAGAAGGGGGAAAGAAAGAAAAGAGGAAGAAAAAGGCCAAAGCAGTTTATGTGTAAAGGGGGGACAAGGGTCCAAAAGTCCAAAACAAGGCTTGAGAGGTACTTTGAGCTTTTGTACCATAAAATGATTTAAGTCTTTATTCCAAGAACAAGGAAAAGACCCAGGACTGTCCTTTAACAAACCACTACGGGGTTGAGTGGGGAATAGAATGGAGTGGTAAAAGTGTATGGGGGCAAACCAGTTATAAGGCTAAGGACAGAGAGAAGTGAAATATTTTAATACTTAAAATACAAAATTTCAGAACCTAGTGATGAATGGAATATGCAGATGTTAAATGAGTCCTTGCTTCTGGCTGGCATAAGTAGATTTGGATAGAGAAGCCAGTCACTGAGAGAATTTCCCGAGAAAAAATTCAGGAAAGACAAAGATTAAGAAGTCCATTAAGTTTGAGATGACTTTGGGACATCCAAGGGGACTTCTGAGTTGACTTAATGAAGCCACATATTTGAAAGCTAACAGCTAGAAAATACCCTCTAGAAATGTATATTATCATGACTGTCCCCAATCTTGTATACTAACTTCTAAACTTAAATCAGAGAGCATGCTTCCTTTTGTTTCTTCCTTTTGACATGCCATCTTCCTTCTTACCTTTTTAAGAAGTGACACCATTTCTTGTGACCAGGCAGAAGGGTAAGTTACAAGAGCCGTCTCAAACATGTGTACAATTTCCTTGCTGGAAGTACTGGAGCGAATATGATATGGTCTCTTAAGGGAGAAAAGAAGTAAAAGTCTTTATTTTTATATGGAAAAAGAAAAAAAAGTTTGCAAATGTTTCCAAGCTAAACTCTCAGCCAATAAAATGTCTATAATCAATTTCTAACCCTGTCCAGCTCACTGTTGTGCTGCCATAGGTGTAGGTGGTCCTGGGTTGCCAGACCACCTAGTTTTTCTCAAAGAGCTGCTAGAAACTTATGGTTACTTAAAAAATATCATAAATTTTAAAGCTGAACACTCCACTGAGCCAAACAAAACATTTGAGTGGGCTGAATCAGCCTCTGAGATGCTGATTTGAAATTGTTTTATAAGGTAATTTATATAAGTATTTACACAAAATACTGGACAAGTCCTCAATAAATGAAAGTAAAAAAATTATGTAAGGGTTGATTGCAAGGCGATCCAGAATTTTACCATCCCATCCCTTTCACTAGTTTGCAAGATAATGAGGAAGCTCAGGACAGAAAACTACTCAGAAAACAACCACAGTCCCGCAAATGCTATGAGTCCCTGGCTCCACAGAGTATGGTGGGGTGGAGAATTTTATGATGAGGCAAAAGCTTTTAAAAACTTTTTTTGGGAAGAACCAGGTTCTTCTACAGTTTTAACTTTGGAGAAAAGTAATTTAAGAAGAAAAGAAATTAAACGAAACAAAACTATGGATTCGTTGTAGTTTTCACAGCTTTACACTAGAGGACAGCCTTTATCTATGTTGATTTATTTTGTAGGAAACTCGCCAACACTGGCATTTCCTATCTTTTATGTGAACTGTAAACTACTCAAAGCCAGAGATTACATCATTCTTTTTCATGATACCTAGAACTTAGTAGATATACAATACATGTTTATTCAATGAATAAAATTTTCACATTAGATTAACCACAGCACAGTTAATATGGATGTACACATTGATTACATGCCTGATCCTTTCAAGTAGTTTAATAAATGATTGTTAATGAATAAAGTAAATTGGGGGAAATGAAAGGATTTAAAATTTTTCCTGTAGTAAATCAGTATTAAGAGGTAATGTAAAATAATCAAGTGTTTGAGCTCTGAAGTCAAAAGGATTTGGGTGTTAAACTTGGCCACTCAATTTCTGAGATTGTTACTTCATCTGTAAAATTAACTACCTTATGAGATTGCTAGCAAAATTAAAGGAGATAATAGGTGTAAATCTTTCAACAGAGTGGCTATTAGTGTTAGACACAATACAGGAGAGATACTTTTATCATATTGACACAAAGGTATAAATGGGCATATGTAAATGTGAATGACTAGTGAACGGCAAAATAAGTCCTCAAGAAAGGTGTTGGGAAGAAAGGTTTAATTTTACACATGGTAAGTCAATGTCAGTGATTCATGGAACCGTGAAGTGCCAGGAGGTGACGCTTGAAAGGGAGATTAAGTCAAACATTTTTTTTTTTTAAATAATGTCTAAAAACAACTGCCATATTTTCCCCCTCAAGACTAAATAAAGGACCATAGCTTAATCATATGTCTTGGTAATGATATAGTAGAAATAACTCCCTAACTCAATATCAGTAAAGGAGTGCTAGATGCTTTATCATCATTATCAATGTTTATTGATAATTTAGTAGCCAAAGGGAACTATAGGTTACTCCATCTGATTCAGACCATGTTTATCATTAAGAATCAGATTAGGATTAGTATACTCAAGCTTCTAAGCATATATGTGTATGCACATGAGTTTTTTCTCTTTTTGATGTCTCTTATTGATTGTAATTCATTGTTGCTTCTCAACCTACTGTTTCTTGGCCACCTAGAAAATAAAATGATTTTATAAACAAATGAATTAACTGATGAATGCCACAAGCAACTGGTTTAAGTGTGTTTTTCTCCATTTACTTTATAAGGTCATATAACTGAATTTAATTTTTAAAATCTCCATGACCTGTCGGTTTATTTAAAAATAATCACATTGCCTTTATCTTATTCATTAATTTACGTTTACAGTTCTAAATTTAAAATTTCACTTTGTCAACTACCAGAATCATATATTTATTCATTTACCAATTATTTATTGAATGCCTACCACGTTCCGCACCTTTCTTAGGCATTGAGGGTACAATAAAGAATAAGACACATATAGTTTCTTTTTTAAAAAATTATTATTATACTTTAAGTTCTGGGGTACAGATGCAGATTGTACAGGTCTGTTACATAGACACATATGTGCCATGGTGGTGGTTTGCTGCATCCATCGCCCTATCATCCACATTAGGTATTTCTCCTAATGTTATCCCTTCCCAATCCCCTCACCCCCTGCTATTCCTCCCCTAGCTTCCCACCTCCAGGCCCCCATGTATGATGTTCCCTTCCCTGTGTCCATGTGTCCTCATTGTTCAACACCCACTTATGAGTGAAAATATGCTGTGTTTTGTTTTCTGTTCTTGTGTCAGTTTGCTGAGAATGATAGTTTCCAGTTTCATCCATGTCCCTGCAAAGGACATGAACTCATTCTTTTTTATGGCTGCCTAGTACTACATGGTATATATGTGCCACATTTTCTTTATCCAGTCTATCACTGATGAGCATTTGTGTTGGTTCCAAGTCTTTGCTATTGTGAACAGTGCTGCAATAAACATACATGTGCATGTTGTCTTTATAATAGAATGATTTATAATCCTTTGTGTATATACTCAGTAATGGGATGGCTGGGTCAAATGGTATTTCTATTTCTAGATCCTTGAGGAATTGCCACACTGTCCTCCACAATGGTTGAACTAATTTACACTCCCACCAACAGTGTAAAAGCATTCCCATTTCTCCATATCCTCTCCAGCATCTGTTGTCTCCTGATATTTAATGATCGCCATTCTAACTGGTGTGAGGTGATATCTCAATGTGGTTTTGATTTGCATTTCTCGAATGACCAGTGATGATGAACTTTTTTCACGTTTGTTGGCTGCATAAATGTCTTCTTTTGAAAAGTGTCTGCTAATATCCTTTGCCCACTTTTTGATTGGGTTGTTTTTTTTCTTGCAAATTTAAGTTCTCTGTAGATTCTGGATATTAGCCCTTTGTCAGATGGGTAGATTGCAAATTTTTTTTCCCATTCTGTTGGTTGCTGGTTCACTCTATTGATAGTTTCTTTTGCTGTGCAGAAGTTTGGAAGTTTAATTAGATCCCATTTGTCTATTTTGGCTTTTGTTGCCATTGCTTTTGGTGTTTTAGTCATGAAGTCCTTGCCCGTGCCTAGACACATATGGTTTCTATGTTGGTGGGGCCTAGAGTCTACTTGAGGAAGCATGTAAATTTATTATATAGACTGTATATAGACACACATTTAAATAAAGCTTGAGAAAAATTACAGTATGCAATCATAGTATATATCAAACAAGCCTAAGGCAGCATCTGAACTAACGGTGAGCATATAGAGAATAAAGAGTGGAAAAAATGAAATGTTATATGGGAACAAATGATGTGTTGTGATTGGAGTTGTATTTCAGAAGTGCAAAGGTAAAAAGTTGCAGTTAAGAATGTACAATGAGTACAAAAGTATGTACATACCTATGCTAAGTTCATACTTTTGGATAATATGAAACTATACATGATGTGGACCTTTGCCTTTGCAACTGCAATGAGATAGCAGGGAGTCAGAGAGATGACAAAGCAGATTAATAGTTAAGGGACACATTCATTCACACAAACCAAACTCAGAAATGATGAGGATGTTTTTGAGCACATTTTCTCTTTAAGGCATATAATTTTCTGTAAAGAAAGATTTGTAAATGTGGAAGAAATTGTTGTTTAGCACTCTTCCTCTGTGGTTTAGTTGTGTTGATGCTTGTCATTAAATGTTATTTCCTTTTTTTTTTTTGGATTAGCTATATTTTGAAACATAATTGCAGGTAGCCTAGTTGGCAATTTTCTTCCTAGAAGATGTCTAAGTGATTTGTAGTTATTTGTCCCTCCATTCATTCAATAAACATGTATGATGTACCTATTAAAAGTTAAATGCTATGACCAGGTGCGGTGGTTTACGCCTGTAATCCCGCCACTTTTGTGGTGGCGGAGGGCGGGCAGGTGGATTGCTTGAGCCTCGGAGTTCAAGACCAGCCTGGGCAACATGGTGAGGCCCCACCTCTATAAAAAATACAAAAATTTTCCAGGCATGGTGGCATGTGCCTGTAGTCCCAGGTTCTTGGGAGGCTCAGGTAGGAGGGTTGATTGGGCAGAGGAGGGGGAGGTTGCAGTGAGCCGAGATTGCGCCATTGCACTCCAGCCTGGGGGACAGAACAAGACTCTCTTTCTTTCTCTCTCACTCTAAAAAAAGTTAAATACTGTGAATACTGACTTATACAAGTTACATACTTCACCTTTAATGAATTAACAGCCTAACAATATACAAGAGATGAAACATTAAAATTGATATACCTATAGATTTAATCCTTAAAAAGAAAATAGATTTAGGTATTCTCATCTAGAAAGCTGTACATTTTATCTTATGAAATGAAAAAAGAAAACAAAAAAAAAAAGACTCAACAAGGTAAAACATAATTCTAGTTTTGCTAAAACAACAAATCTATCTATATCTATCTGTCTGAAGATAGAGTATCCTTATGAGAACAGAAATAAGTTGGAAGTGAATGTGACAAACTGCTAAGGTGGGCCTTAAAAGTAAAAGGGAGTTTAATTTCTTCACCGGAAATGTTCTGTGCCTTCGAGACTATGGCTGATTTTTGCTTTCATTTTTGTGGTTTTCCATATTTTTTGATAAGTTTAGATTCTGAAAATTCACAGGAGAGATAAAGTAAATAAATGTTTGGAAGAGATTTGGATCACTTTAGCTAGGAAGATCAGAGAATGTTTCTTTAGAGAAAGTGCTATTTTGTCACAGGTGATAAAGTATGAGTAGAATTTGAATATGAAGAGATCTAGAAAAAGCTCCCCAACACAAATTGGAATAGTTTACTAGTGTATTCTTTCTTAGAAATGACCAAAATACAGCGGCTATAAAGAATTTGAAAAGGCCTGCAATCAAGATCTATCCTTTATTAAAACTTCATTTAGTGATTTCCAATCTTAAGAAGAGTGATTTTTAAAGAAAAACAAGGTTAACCTTGGAAATCATCTTCATAGGAAAAGAAACAAGAGGTTAAAAAGACAAAGAGATGCTTTGAGAAGAGGAAAAAGTTCTAAGAGGCCAAAATGAGTTCATAAAGGGTCAGAAATATTCACATGAAAGCAAAATCTGAAACGTTAACCTAATTTTGATGAATGCCAAGCTAAAGCATCTGAAGTTTGTTGGGGGGAGTAGGAGGGGCAGATAAGGCTTATGAAAGGTGTGTGTGTGTCTGTGTGTTTGTGTGTGTGTGTGTGTGTGTGTGTGTGTGTATGAGGGAGAGAGAGAGACAGAGAAAGAGAGAGAGAGAGAGAGAGAGAGAGAGAGACTGGGGAGCAACAGGACTTTCTTTTTCTTGACAGAAAAGGTCATATATGTGCTTTAGAAAAATGAATTTGTCAATGTTAACATATCAGATCAGCAGGAATTACCATAAAGGCAAAATAAAGGCAAAAGAAGAAAAACAATTTTCTTGGCAAAATTCTTTCCAGGCAGACAAGAATACCACTTTTAGATAGGCGATAAATACAATCCTAGGCACGTTTGAAAAATAATAGATAGTTGTTTGTTTGTTTCAGCTCACTACTCAGCTTTTGTTTTGCTAGATGTGTTATAAAAGATGAGGGCAGGGCACAATTACTCTGAACCGCAGAAGGGGCTAGCAAAGGGCTAACACAGAAGCACAGCCACAGAAAGTGAGCAAATTTGTTGGGGAGAAAAAATTGAGGGTGAAGTGGGAAACAGTAGATATCTTTCCACTTTTAAGTAAATGGTATAATGATCTTCTCTGTTTTCCTATATAATCATGAATAGCATATCTACTTCTTCACTTTGGATTTATTTAGAAACTGGAAAAAAGCCCATCAGGACATAAAAACAGGTAAGATCTGAAGCTGCCTATGGAGTACTTACACATTTGGCTTACAAGAGTGGTCTTTTCCCATTAATTTGACTAAATCATCCAAATTTGAATATGCTTATACATAGTGCTACAATGATTTCTGCAGGAGAGGCAGGCGTATGAACAATGAACTAATGAATGTTTGGGTGTGAAATGGACCCTGTGGAGTCAATGAAACAGATACAATTGTGAGATCCTCCTTCGTTTACTTTAGGATCACCTGTCTTTGATTTTTTGAGCAAGATAAAGCCATTGGACCATGATGAAATAGCCCCAACTTCTAATTGTTCTTGTATGTGAATAGGTCAATTTACTTGGGAGATGGCATTTTTAATGCAGAAATCATGGTGGTGTGTTGTAGGAACAAAGAAGAAGGTTACTGACAGAAGCAGAAAGAATGACTCCAAAAAGGAGAGGAGAGCTGCAGAATCTGGACAATGACTTGAGATAACCAAATTCTTAGTTCTGTGGGATAACAAGCTCCTAAAGTCAGGTCTTCAACTTTTTGGTCTTAGAGGAATCACTGATTGCATCCATCACTGAGACCTTGAGAGTATACAACCTGTTATGGACTGAATGTATCCCTCAAAATTCCTAAGTTGAATCCTTAACCCTCAATTTGATGGTATTTTGAGATGAAACTCTTGGGAAGTAACTAGGATTAGATTAGATCATAAGGGTGTAGCCTTCAGATGGGATTAGTGGCCTTATTACAAAAAGAAGAGAAAGAGATTCTCTCTCTCCCAATCATGGGAGGGCAAGAAAGAAGCTGTCTGCAAGCCAGGAAGAAAGCCCTTACCAGAATCCAACCAGGATGGCACATTAATCTCAGGCTTCTAGCCTCTGTAACTGAGACAATAAATTTCTGTTGGTTAAGCCACCCAGTCTGCAGTATTTTGTTAAGGCAGATATTTCAGACTAAAATTGTGGTACTGAGAAGTGGGGTGTTGCTGGAACAAATGCCTTAAAATGAACTAGTTATTGAGCTGGAAGACCTCTGCTATATGTGCTAGAAATATGGATATTAAGGGTGATTCTGGTAAGGTCTCAGGTGGAAATGAGGAAGATTGGAAACTGGAGGGAAGATGATTCTTGTTACAAAGTGGCAAGGAGCTGGTCTGAATTGTGTTCTGTGATTTTGCAGAAGGTAGAAATTGTGAGTGATGAAATAAGATATTTAGCTGAGGAGATTTCTAAGCAAAACTTTGAAGAACTAACTTGATTCCTCTTGTCTGCTTATAGTAAAATGTGAAAGGAAATGTTTGAATAGAAGCAAAATCAAAGATTTCTATCCATATTGCAGAAAATGAGCAAGGCTGTTCTGAGGAGAACACTAGGCTATAGCTGAAAAACCAATTGATGGACATTGAGGGTATAACTCATGAACTTAATTAGTTATCTCAACAGAAGCCAGAAATAAAGAGGGGATTATACTAGCAGAGATACTGCCAGTTTGAATTTAAGGAGATAGAGAAAGTGGGATGGAATGAAGAAAAGCTGTCAGACTTCTTGGATTTTACAGGATGGGACCATAATGCTATCCAGCTGTGAACACATGCTATCCTTCAAGTAAAAGGAAGAAGGACCATGAGGGTGATTCAGATATCATCATGGCTGCCATTCCCGCTAGAGGTCCAGAGTGCACTGACTTCGGGAGCAGCGTCGCCTCCACTTCAGTTTCAAAGGGCAGGACCACCACCCAACAGAGCTGTGTAGACAGAGCCCACACAGAGAGCCACGTGGGTAGTGCCTTTGTAGAAAGCCATTTAAGTAAGCCTCCTCTCCCCATCCCCAGCCATGAGAGTGATGATGCCATGCCCACGTAGATCTAGAGGGCAAACCATCAAACCAAAGAAAATTATTTTTGAGTTTTAATATGTAATAGGATTTGCCTTGATATGTTCTGGACTTGTTTAGGAGCTGGTGCTCCTTCCTTCTTTCCCATTTCTCTCTTTTGAAATGTTGGAATGGGATTGTCTATCCCAGAGTTATGGTACCATTGTATTTTGGAAGCACATAACTTGCTTGCTTTTGTTTTTTGTGTTTTTTTCTTTTTTTAGTAATGGGTCTCACTCTGTAGCTCAGGCTGGAGTGCAGTGGCACAGTCATGGTTCACTGCAGCCTCTACCTGCTGGGCTCAGGTGATCCTTCCACCTCAACTACCTGAGTAGCTGGGAACACAGACATGCATTACCATGCCGGGCTAATTACAAAAATGTTTCTTTAGAGACAGGGTCTCCCATGTTGCCAAGGCTGGTCTCATACTCCTGGGCTCAAGGAATCCTCCTGCCTCCTGCCTCTTAAAGCATGGGATTACAGGTTATGAGCCAGTGCCTGGCCACTTGTCTGCTTTTATAGGATTATGGCTGAGGAGAAATTTTGCCTTAGGATGAATCATACCTTGAGTCTCACCCATACACAATTTATATGATGTTGAGATGAGATTTTGGACTTTAGACTTTAGAGTTGATATGGGAATAAGTTAAGACTTTGGGGACTGTTGAATATATGCATTTTGCACATGAGAAGACATGAATATTGGAGGGGTCAAGGGTAGAATGTCATGGACTGAATGTTTGTGTTCTACTCAAAATTCAGATATTGAAGCCCTAACCCTCAATGTGATGGAATTTGGAAATGGAGCCTCTGAGAAGGAATAAGGGTTAGATTAGTATATGGGAGTAGGTTCCTTATGATGGGATTAGTGGACTTAAAAGAAAAGGAAGATCTCTCTCTGCCATGTGAAGACACAACAAAGAGGCTGCTGTCTGCAAGCTAAGAAGAGCCTTCACCATAACCCAACCATTCTGGCATCTTAATCTCGGACTTCCAACTTCCATAAGTGTGAGAAAATAAATGTCTGTTTTTAAGCCATCCTGCCTGCAGTATTTTATTACGGTAGGCAGCGCTGACTAAGATATAACCTTAGGAGCACATTTACATTATGTAATAGTTTGCAAAAAGTGTATAAAATATGTTTTGGCATATTTGCTTTCTTTTCATCTATTTTTTTTAGAAAAGAGTTTCTTAGTTTAAGAAATGCTCCTTTAAAGGGAAATGACTCTAATTTGTCACTGAACCCAGAGCCCAGGAGCTGAGTGATAGAAATTCAACGAGACAGAGCGTGAATTGTGTTGTATTAATAATTCACACTAGCCTTGGTGAGGTATGTCTGAATTAGAGTCCTATACTGTGACTGCAAAATAACTTCCTTTAAACAAACACAGATATTTACACAAGATATTTAGTGAGGTGTATTGAGTTCCCCTCTTTGGAAGTTCATAATTTCCATATTATTCCTTTACTTTTAACTGTGTAATTTAATGCTAATTGACATGGTTGGTCCCATATGCAGGATAAGTGAATTAACCTGTGCAGAAATCTCAAGGGTTGTTATCAACATCACATGGCATAGCTGATTTCAGCTTTCAAGTGAACTGCTTGGTTCTTATTCTTGGCAAACAATACATTCTTTTATTCTAAAATAGAACTTTCTGGAAAAATAACCACAGAGGAAATGCAATACTACAATACCCGGCCTCTCAGTAGTTCATATGCCGTCACTCCCAGGGACCACCAGTCAACAGCAAAGGAATAGCCTGCTCCTTTTCTGGAGTTGAACATCTCGGGTGCTGAAAAACATGGAAAAATCAGGCCAGTTTGATTCCCTGAGACATTCACATTATATTTTCTCAACATATTCCTCCAAAGGAGAATCACCAGAGTAAAAAAATATAAACGCTTTTATGGATATTTATCATCCATTGCTAGATGGCTCACAGCAGGCAAACATTTCTAATTTTCTAATCTCTCTGCGTAGCCTCATTCATCAGCCAACACACACAGCATGCATAGGCCTTCAAGGGTAAACTCTTCTCTTATTTAGATCATGCATCAATTAAAATTTGGGTCCCATTGGGCCTCAAGTATGTGGCTCACCCTGAAATCAAGAAGGCTAAGAAGATGTGATTTGTTTTGATTTGGAAGGTTTTAACTAAAGGATTTAAATTTGTTCAATAGTTGTAAACAATGCTCAGAAATAAATAAATGAAAAAAAAAAAAAGAACTTGGCACAACATACATTGGATCAGCTCTCTATCTCAACAGAGTCACCTGGAAGCAGCAAAGGAAGCACTTGCAGCCGTCTGCTGGGGATGAGGGAGGAGGAAGAGGAGCGAGCATTCTGGAAAGTATAAGGCTGTACAACAGCTGTGGATTCTTTACACTTTGAAACCATAGTTCTTTCAACTGATTGCAATGGAAGGTAGAGCAACAGTCAATTTTACCCCCAGATATGACTCCCAAGTTATGCATTCTCTAAGCACTTTGACATACCATGAATCTTTGACTTATCCTTCTAAGAATAAACTTAACTCCTGAGGGATGTAATAGGGAAATTGAAGCACAAAGCAAAGGCAGGTAATGTTTCTGCTTGCTCACCGCTATATTCCTAGTGTCTAGCACAGAATCTGGCATTCATAATCACTGGAGAGAAATTTGTTGAATGAATGAACAAATCAATTGCTCAAGCAATAGTTGTGATCATTAGCTCTGGAGCTGTGCTGTTTGGGTTCAGATTCTACCTTCACCACTTATTGAGACCTTGCACAAGTTGGCAAACCTGAGAATTTGAAAACTTAGAACAATAAGGCAATCTTTCTTTCTTTCTCTTTCTTTCTTTCTTTTCTTTTCAGGGTCTCACTCTGTTGCCCCGGCTGGATTGCAGTGATACAATCATGGCTCACTGCAGCCTTGACCTTCCAGACTGAAGTGATTTTCCCACTTCAGCCTCCCAAGTAGCTGGGACTACAAGTTGGCACCACACCTGGTAATTTTTGTGTTTTTTGTAGAGACAGGGTCTTGCCATGTTGCCCAGGCTGGACTCGAACTCCTGGGATCAACTGATCCAACTGCTTTGGCCTCCCAAAGTACTGGGATTACAGGTGTGATCCACTGCACCTGGCCAATAAGGTGATCTTTAGAGAGTTAGAAATTAAATGTGATAAACCATGTCAAAGCCTAAGTGTGGTGCCTAGCAGTTATAAAGTGCTCAAAAACATTGGGTATGCTTCTAGAAAGGCAAACTTTCATAATAATTGACCTAATTGAAAGATACATATGATTGATCCCAAGCCTCCTGTATAAAGTGCTGGCTCTGGGCAAAGGAAACTGGTATGACATGGGTCCTGCACACACAGGTTTGCCTTACGCAGTGCACTGAAGTTCTTTTTAAGTAAAATCCTGTGGACAACATCCAATTAGTGAGGGAGAGTGTTTACATCCCAATGCTCAGGACTGGCCCTGACTGTAAGAGCTTGATGTAGCAGGAATAGGTAGGGCTGTTTCCCCAGCGCATTCACCATTCATGCATCACTGCACCCTTTCTGCAAGTCACAGCTCCCAATGCAATTTGAGAGATAATGGCCCCAACCCCACACTACTCCCACAGACAGGATGGACTATATTTCTGCTTTCCCTTCTCAGTATCTCACAACAAGTCATATCAGATAGTCCCCAGGTGACTGGTGACAGACATGTCGCTTAGAGAAGCTACAAAAAGCTTTGAGGGAAAATCAGAGCCACTGTGCTAAGAAAATTTCTAACAGAATAAAGATTACCCTATAAAAGTTATGTATCTATCATATTGGATTATCCTTGGGGTTTACATGAGTATTCTTTTTCTTCCAGCTTTATTGAGTATTCTTTTTTCTCTTCTTCTACCTGGTCTATTTTCAGGCATGATGACATTTTGATACACATTTATTCATTCAGCAAATATTCATGGTATGCTAGGCACTGAAGCATTTAGGTGAAACATTAAGAAGAAATTTTAGGACAACATACAAAAACATAACAGATGCGTAATTCTTTGGCCCCTCAAATAGTTGAGAAAGCAGAGCAGGAAGATATTGAAGGGCTTCCACCAACCCTTCAGGAAGATTCCCTGCACCTAAGAGAGTAAGTACTAAGAGAGTTGGAGAACAGCTAAGTGTTCTTCAAAAGAGCCACTGAGTATTTTGTTTGGTGCTCTTCCTTAAGTATTTCTATACATACATTCAGAAAAGGAAATAAAACGCTGAAGAATTTAACAAACAGTTACAAGCAAATGTCTATATAACCATGACACAGGTCAAGAAATAGAATCTTGTCCCGATCACTGTGTCCTATTCTGTTCATTACCGTAGAAGTCACTGTGCTAAGTTTTATGTTAATAATTTTCTTGCTTTTCTTTTCTTTCTCCCTTTGTTTTTGGAGATGGAATCTCGCTCCATTACCAAGAGTGCAGTGGTGTGATCTCAGCTCACTGCAATCTACGCCTACCGGGTTCAAGTGGTTCTCCTGCCCCAGCCTCCTGAGTAACTGGGACTACAGGTATGCACCACCATGCCAGCTAATTTTTGTATTTTTACTAGAGATGAGGTTTCAGTATGTTGGCCAGGATGGTGTCAATCTCTTGGCCTCTTGATCAATCCATCTTGGCCTCCCAAAGTGATCACAGGCATGAGCCACCACACCTGGTCCATTTTCTTGCTTTTCTACATAGATTGATCTCTGTGTACATATGTTTAGACAATAGTTTAGCTTTGCCTATTTTATATACCTCCCAGAAACTGTAGATAAATTGGCCACCTACCTATTTATTTATTTCAGTGCTTTATAATAAAGGAAACACTGACAAAGCAAAAAAGAAATCTATTCCTTGTATTCGATTAAATTTCATTAAATTAAAACATGAAATCAAATTGTATTCCTTGTATACTTTGGTGTCTTTTCTTATTCAATGACATGTGTATATGATTTATCCAAGTTGCTACATATAGTTAAGTCTGCTCACTTTCAGTGCTAGATAAATATACCATAATTTACCTGCCTATTCCATTGTTTGATAGTCATTTGGGTTATTTTCAGTTTGGGACTATTGTGAACAACACTCTCATGAACATTCCTACACATATAAAACTCCTATAAGGGCATGTCTCTTTAGGGTGTATTCCTACGGGGAACTGTTGGTGATAGGAATGGGTATTTTTTTCTGTATACTAGAAGACACCAAACTATTTACAAAAGTGGTATATAAACTCACACTATGACCAATATTATATCAGGGTTCCTTTGTTGAACATCCTTGTCCACACTTGGGAATATCTGACCCTTTACTGACAATCTGGTGAGTATGTAATAATATTTCACTGTGGTTTAAATTGGCATTCTCTTATTTACTAATACGCTTGACCATATTTAATACGTTTATTAAATATTTGGTCTTCCATCATTTGCTCTTCAGATTTTTTAAAACCTGGATATTAGATTTTGGTCAGGACATGAAAAAAAGGGACCCAACAGTAATCTGTACATTTAATGTAATAGAATTAATTCACAGAGCCTTACAAAATTGATTCTAAATTTCATCTATAAGAAAAAATTATGGAAGTTATATTTTTGGAAAAGAATAGAGTCCTGCATTCCATGTATTAATCTATAAAGCTGCAATAATTAAGATTGAAAGCTACAGAATATAGATGTTAGTACAAAAATATATTTAACTTATGATGAACGTATTTCAAATCAGCATGGAAAGGGACTTATTTAATATATAGTCTCAAAACAATTATTTAATAATCATGCAAAAATAAAGTCAGATCCTTGCCACATATGTTCAGTTAAAATAACATACAACCGAATTAAGTAAAAAAATGAAACCACAATCAGATTAAAAATATTAAGCAAACACATCTAAAATCTAGTGGTAAGAAGGCCTTGCTAAGAACAGCACTGAAGTTAGAAAACATAAAGTAAAAAGATGAGTAGCTTGATAATATTTTTAGCAAACTTTTGATGTCATAAATAGGCCATAAAACAACAGCAACTTAAAAAGTGGGAAATCATATTTGTAACAGAAAATGTACAACAAATATGATACACTAGGATTTCACATTCCAAATACAAAAAAGATAAGTACTATTTACATAACCAATAAGAACTATTGAAATAGGATAAAAACATTAAACCTCAATAGAAAATGAGCAAAGAATTTGAACAGGCAATTTGCAAAAGAAGTCAAAGAAATACTGTGGTAATACCACAGTGTCATATCATTTTTACTTGTCTTTTTTGGGACAATTAAAGATATTGACAGTATAGCACTGATGAGAATGCAGGGAAATGAATATTTTCAGACACTTCCAGAGCAAGTACAAATTGAATGAATTTTCAGAAGATAAATGTATTAACATGTAAAGCCATTGACCAGAAATTCTTTTGCTCTTTCAGTTAATCAAATTAATTAATTGTAATTAAGAAATAAAAACTGCATATCTTGTATACAATACTATGTTTTGAATACATTGTAGAATGGCTGAATAGAGATAAATAACATGTGCTTTACCTCACATTATCCACATTACCATTTTTTAATGGTGAGAGCACAAAATTTTCTTTCAGTGATTTTCAATAATAGAATACATTATTGTTTTTGAATAAAAAGTTATCGCAAAGAAGTAACTAACTTGCAGGACACAATTTTGCTAACAGGATTTTTACTACAAATTTAAATATACAGGATGAGTATCCCCTATCTGAAATTCTTGGGACCAGAAGTGTTTCACATTTCAATTTTTTTTTTTTTCAGATT